AACGAAGCATGCACACGTGTATGCAGAGGCCGTGTGGAATGGAAGCAAGAGTGGCGGAAGAGCAGACGGTTGGTCAGATGTATAGCGGGGTGGACGGGAGGACGGGTGGAAAGCAGATGGGTCGGCGGACAGATGGGACGGTCAGAGGGTGGATAGCGGAGGGATGGGTGGACGTTGGGTGATTGGACAGACAGGTGAGCAGATGGGGAGGAGCATGGACGATGGTGCAGATGGGTGACTAGATGGTTGGATAAATGGATGGATACGTGGACAGATGGGAGTGTGGACGGATAAATGACTGGGTGGGTGGACAGATGGGTGCATGGGGGGTGAATAAGTGGACAGATGAGTGAGTGGTGGGGTGGGTGGTTGATAGGTGGGTGGACTGGCGAACGGATGGATGAGGACATGGGTAGACAAATGAGTGCTTAGGTCATCCTGTAACAAAACGAATGGATAAAAAGTGTGCGCTTGCCAGAAGATAGCACAGCCTTCTCAGCGGGTAAACGCAGCTCTCTTGCAACACTGTCGGTGACCAGGATGCTTTGGGTCTCCGCACAGGGCTTTCCGATCGGCTGCCTCCTCCTCCCCACTGAGGGTCTCCCCCGGAGGCCAGGGCGAAAGGCGCAGGAGGATGGCCACGGAGGTGAGCGCCCCGGGCGGACAGCGCGCCATCGGGAATGAGGAGTACAGCCTGTACAGCAGCCTGAGCGAGGATGAGCTGGTCCAGATGGCCATTGAGCAGAGCCTGGCCGACAAGACGCGGGGCCCAGCCACTGCCGAGGCCGCTGCGTCCACCCGTGCCAACCGCCAACCTGCCCATTTGTGCCCAAGGACCAGGTAAGCAAGGAGAGGCCGTCTGGGGCCTGGACAAGGGGCAGATCCCGAACACTGTTAACCCCAAACCAAGCTGTCCTGGTCTCTAGGGTGTACTGTAAAGCCTTAATGACTACAGTTATCATCTAAAGTTACTGAGCTCAGGCAGGGCCAAGTACCGGTCAGGGGCTAATGCACTTTGCCTCATAAGGACTTTCTGGAGGATCTGGGCTGGATCTGCACTTTACAGATAAAGAAACTGAAGCTCAGGGCTCAGCAGCTAGTCCAGGGTCACACACTGAATAGATGGTGCTGCAGAGATTGGAACTGCCTGGTCCCAGAGCCCAAGGCCTGGCCCTGCACGGCTGGCTGTAGGTTTGAATGCAGCGGAACCGACATCGGAGTCTGTCCGGAGCTTCCAACCCCGTCTGCGCTGCCTCCCTGGGAAACGTGCTGGAGGAGCGAATGCCGTCCACTCGGCACGGCCATCCTGCCCCCTTGCTCCGGCTCCCCCTGTCTCAGGGCGACCCCACGACCCCCAGCAGCAGGACCACCCCGAGCAGCGTCAGTCACACCAGGAGAAGTAGGACTCGGGCCACAATCACAGCTCCGCATACATGCCATGCTGCCTGTCTTAATAGCCACACTGACAAGTGAAGAGAAGCAGGCGAGATTCATTTGTGCCTAAAATAGTATCGTCTCCACGTCATCGATATAAAAATGACGAAAGAGATGCTCACACTCTTTTGTTTTTTCATAGCCAGTCTTGGGATCCCAGCGTGTGTTTGCACTCACAGCACCTCTAACCCAGACGCCCACTTCTCAAGGGCTCACTGGCCTCGGGTGGCCTGTGGCTGCCGTACGGGACAGTGCAGATCGAGGGGCCACCTTCTTTGTAGGGGACGGGAGCCAGAAACATAATTAACCATTGACCCGTAAATGCTTTTAGAAAAGAAATGCAAACATTTAAAAATGCTTCTGCCCATCCCCGAGTCCCAGTCGAGTGTGTACTGGGAAGTGGGGACAGGGGGACGGGCACGGCTGGGACAATTGTGTCTGTGCTATCTTGGGGCAAGGACCTCAAGCCTCCCGGCCTCCAGCAGCCAGCTGACTCCCTGTGTGACCTCGGGCAAGTCACTTCACCTCTCTGAACCACACTTTCCTTCCCTAATCGTACTAGTAACAACGGCAACAACAATAAACTGGCCCTTCCCGACGTCCAGCCCTGGTTGGCCGGGGTGAGGGTGGGTGATGGTGCCTCTCAGCCTGCCCCCTGATGAACCTACCAGGGTGGTCCCCCAGCGACTCCCAGTTACAGAGGCTGGGCCACCTCTGCCGGGTGGGCTGCGCGGAGGCCTAGGATGCCTGTCACCAAGGAAGCTTCTCAGTGGGAAAGCAGGCAGCCTCCTTGGGCAGCTGGAAGGCTCCAGGCTCCTGAGCTGCCCCCGAGGATGTCCCCTGTGGGGACGCAACCTGAAAAACAGAAGCCCAGAGCCAGGGGCTCCTGGCGACCTGGGCCCTGGGAGGCCCTGGTTCCTGTTGGGGCCAGCTCAGTCTACTAAGTCAACCACAGTTTCCTCTTTCTCAGGAGGGGGTCTGAGAGAAGGCAGCCTCCCAGGCTTCGGCCCAGGTCGGCGCTTCCTCGGCCTCTGCAGCCTTCCCCCCGTGTGGGGGCCCCACCAAGGGGTCCTGCCCGCGCTTCCGACCTTAGAACAGAGCAGGCCCTGAGGGCTGGGCCCTGATCTCTTCCTTCCTCTAGTGAACAAGGAAGTCGGGACCCACCGGGGGCAGGTGCAAACAGTCGTCCAGCCTCCTGAGAAAATAAGCTCGTAGAGAGAAGTAAAATGACTTACCCAAGGTCATGTGGTCCTCTGCTAAGACCCAGGCACAACCAACACAGAGGGGCGAGAATCCAGCCCTGCCTCCTGTCACTTTTTTTAAAAGATTTTATTTATTAGTTTTAGACAGAGGGTGAGGGAGAGAGAAAGAGAGGGGGAGAAACATCAGTGTGTGGTTGCCTCTCACACGTCCTCCACTGGGGACCTGGCCTGCATCCCAGGCATGTGCCCTGACTGAGGATCGAACCAGTGACCCTTTGGTTCGCAAGCCCATGCTCAATCCACACTGAGCTACACCAGCCAGGGCTTTTTTTTTTCCCTGTCACTTTTTAAAAAACATTTTATTGAATTTATTCGGGGTGACATAGGTTAACATAATTATGTAGGTTTCAGGTGTACAGTTCTGTAACACATCATCTATACCTTGTTTTGTGTGTTCACCACCCAAAGTCAAGTCTTCTTCCATCCCCATTTACCCCCTTTTACCCTCTTCTCCTCCCCCACCCCCTCCCTCTGGTCAGCACCACGCTGTTGTCTGTGTCGGAGTTTTTTTCCTTTGCTTAATCCCTTCCCCCCTTTCACCCAGCCCCTCCCCCATCCCCGACAGCTGTCAGTCTGTTCTCTGTGTCTATGAGTCTGTTTCTCTTTCGTTTGTTAGTTCTGTTTGTTCACTGGAGTCCATCTAGGAGTGAGGTCTTGTGGTGCTTGTCTTTCTCTGACTGGCTTGCCCCGCTCTCGACGCGACCCGAAACCTCCCAGGTTCAGCTCTGTCTGCCCCTCGGTCTCTGAACGGAAGCTGGGCCCAGTGGGCCCCGCTGGGGCAGCAACCCCCACCGACGTGATTTCCCGGTGACTCCCCTCCTCCCCCAGGACTCTCCGTGCCGCCCCGTGCGCCCAGCGCACAGCCGTCCTCCGAGTCCTTGCAAAGCCCCGCGGGCCGGTGCGCCGCCGGTGTTCCCGTGCCCGTTTCATGCGTGAGAGAACGTGGGCGCGGCAGGGCCGGGAAGGACCCGAGTCTGCCCCGCTCCGGCATCCTGGCCCTCGGCCGGCTCTGCCGGTTCTGCCATTCCCTTCCCCCCCTCCACCTCAGACAGAGGTCTGGGTTTCCACCTCCCACCCACGGAAATTCGGGGGCCCCGAAGACGAGAGACACACGGACGGCACTCACACGCAAGACACGGCATCACTCTTAGGAGCCGGTAGAGTCCTTGTTCACGTGTGTCCCCAAAGATCGTAGTTTCCACCCGACCAGACCCAGAGCAAGTTTAGGACAGGACGTCACACGTGTCCCCAGGGTGCCCACAGGGCCAGCTCCTCCTCATCCTTCAGGCCTCAGATTGAATGTCACCTCCTCAGCAAATCCTGCCTGTGCACCCGGCCAGGCCAAGTAGGTCGCCCCCTCACTCACTCGCTCACTCGCTCGGCTGTTTCCTCCCTGACTCCGACTCACAGTGTCCATGTTTCGGCTGTTAACCTGTGCACCCCTGGAGGGCGGGGCCCTCCCGGGGTTCCTTCACCGGCGTGGTGCCTGGCCCGGTGAATCGGTGATGAATGAATGGGTGGATAAGGGCCTGAACGAAGAGGCAGCAGGGTGGAAAAAGAAGCGGGTTTGGAGGTTCGAATCCTTCCCTTACCACTTACTGGCTGTGTGACCTTGGGCAAGTTATTAACCTTTCTGAGCTCCAACAGCGTTCTCTTTAAAATGGCAACAACAAAAACTTGCCAAGCCCAGCTTGCAGGGCTCCTATGAAAAGCAAATAAGAATAAGATGAGGAAGGCATGGGAGCCCGAGATCCTGCTGCTTGAAGTGGCCTCTCCCCACCTCTTCCCCGAGTGCCCACCGCACGTCTGCCTCTGCTTCACGGACAGACAAACGTTTGTGTCACCCTAACGAGGCATCACCTGGCCTCCCGAGAGTGTCCCCAGCTACACTGTGTGACCTCCTTGGGGCCAGGGGGCAGCTCTTCCTCAGCGAGGAGCCTGGGTCATTGTAGGCGCCCAGGGAACGTTTCCAGCCAGTGAGTGCACTTCGAAGCCAACAAAGTCCTTTAGGAGCGTAAGTTATCATTATTGTCTCATGAGCAAAATGACAACTGCGGACGTGAAGGTCACCTGAGTCTTTGGGATCCTGGAAACGAAAGCCAGGTCACAGCCCAGGAAAAAACATAACGTGAGGGTCATCTTCCAAGCCTCGGCCCACTGAGGGCTCCCTGGAAGGCAGACCCGACTTCCTGTCCCACGGAGAAGTAGGGTGCGGGCGCCGCTGGCCAGGGAGGGGTGACCAGGGACCCCAGGGTCACCGCGATGGACCAGCCAGAGCGGGTCCAGGAAGCTGGGACTTCAGTCTTCGAACTTCTGCATTTTATTTAAAGTTGCATTTCTGAGAAGACAAAGGAAGAAAGCAGGAAGCAGGAACTTGCTCGGGCTGCTGTGTGCACCCGGTAAACAATTCACCGCACACTTCTAACGTGGCACATGCCCGCTGGCTTCTGGGTGTGAATCAGGCCTGGCCCTGCCCTCCCTGGGCTTGAAGGCCAAGGAGGATGAAGGCACAGAGAGAGAAGAAGGGTGCAGCGAAGGGGCTTGTCTCCGTTTCAGAAGGACACAGAAAGGGTCTCTTCATTTAGCTCAAGAGGTGGGCTTTGCAGGATGAATAGGAGTTCACTGAGCAGGCTGGAGGAAGCAAACTTCTCTGAGACTCAGTTTCCTCACCTGCAAAAGGGAGCCAATTACATCACCTTCACAAAGTAGACACACGGGCTCAGGACGAAATGAGATGCTTCGTGCCGTGTGCCTATGACAAGACTTGGCACGTAGCAAGCGCTCAATGAATCTTAGCTATGCGTGGAAGGCAGACATTGCGGCTGGAATTCCTGCTCTCCCCTCTGAGTGCGCTCTGGCCAGCCCAGCAAAGACAGCTCGGCCAGTGGCAGAGCGAGAAGCAATGCTCATGGGCGGTGGGCTGATTCCAGAGACCTGCGGGAAGGGGGTGGAGGTGGCTATGCCAGGTGAACCCTTCCTCTCCCTGCCCGGGAGGGCCGACACGCAGCCGCACCGCACTGAGACCACCATATGGGACGTCACCCTTCCAAAGGCTTGGCTTTGTTTGTTTCGTTTCACTCATTTAAATGCATCAAGTGCCTAATGTGTGCCGGGCCCTGTATTCCTGACCCACGTAGGGCTGGGGCCAGGGCCAGAGGAGAGAACAGACACTGGATGCGGGCACAGTGGCAGGCAAGGGCGCACTCTCCTGTTTGTTAACTTCCTCCCCTAGTAAGTTGCCCGAACGCCACCTGCGCAGTTGAACACCTTCCTGGGGCTGGGCCTAAACGTCTCATGAACTCAGGCCGGGCTCCGGGAGAGGCTGGCGGGCATTGTCATCAGAGCTCCGCTCCCTGCTCTGCCCGAGTCTGAAGCCAGGGCCCGCTGGACTGCAGGACAGTTCTGCTGGGAGCCGGAGACCGTGCTGTGCTCCTGACCCGCCCCTACCTGGGCCTCTTCGCGGGCATGACCTGTGCCCACATCCCGCCGGGCTCCTCTCACCTCCAGTGAGTCAGCCAGGTGGTTTCCCCGCCGCGGGCCTGAGAAGGAAGTGGGGCCGCACGGCTGAGAAGAAAGAGCACAGAACCCAGCTGGGGCCCGGCCCCCCCTGCACTTTCGACTCTCTGCTCAGAGGCGCGGAGCCCCCGGCCGGCCCGCCCGCCCCCGACACCCAGTGGCTGATGTCCAGTTTCAGGGTTCCCAGGACGAGTCCTCCTGCCCCTGTCTCGGCTTCGGCCCTGGGGCCCTGTGGGGGCGAGTGTCTTTGTCTCCCACCCCACCCCTTGGGGTCCATGAAAACAAGCGTCCCACTTGCCTGTGCCCCAGGCCAAAGCACGGGGCTGGGAAACGCTTGTTGAGTAGAATTCAGTTTGTCTGTTTCCTCCTCCGCAAAGTGGGAACCGTGCACCCCCAGCCTCCATCCTGGTGGCGGGGACGATGGACCTGCGGCATGATCCCTGGGGCCAGCACCGTGGCCGTCTCGCTGCCACCCGCCCCCACCTCGCTGTCTCGCTGCCGCTGTTATTACTGGGCCACCAGGGAGAGGGCCCCGTGCCGGGCTGGGGTCTGCTCTCTCCCGGTGCGCACCACCCCGCTGAAGCCCCCCCGACTCTGGGAGGGAAGGCGTTGGGGTTTGTTTCTACAGACCCGCCTGTGTTAGATCTTCACGGGGTTCTTTGTTCTCGCTTTCTGGCTGCACAGGTGCTTTGCCACGGTAGAGCGAAACGCCGGACACGGAGAATCCACTCTGTGTGTCCGGTACATACTTCCGTCATTAGCAGCACACGGCACCGTGCCTTGGAGCTTAGTAACTGTAGTGAAATTTCATTGATATTTTACAAAATGGGAGGCCACACATGGGCCCATGATGACGGGGGCCCGGCCCCCAGGACCTCGTGGAGACAGAAGCCTGCCCAGCACGCCGGCACGCTTCCCTTGCCGGGGCCACAAGCAAGCACAGAAAATAACCCTGAACCTGAGGGCTTTCAGGGCCAGGGGACTCGGTCTCTCAGATCTGCCCGACATGCTGACTTTCCGCATGAGGTCGCTGCAGCAAAGGCTCGCCGGCTACACCAGCAGAGGGGAAGCCCCCGGTGTGGTCCCGCAGCCTCCTGTTGCGAAGGAGGAAACTGAGGCACAGACAGGGCCGAGGGCTTGCTTCAACCTCAGGGCCTGTCGGTGTGGCGGCCTGAGAGCTGCAGAGAGCTCGAAGGGTGTGGGGAGACGGGGACCCTGGGGGAGGGAGCGTGGTGTGGGGGGCTCTGCTCTGGAGGGGCGCAGGAGACCAGGCTGGGCCTGCAGGGGGCGCCCGTGGTGCCAGAGTCTGACCCCTCGGACGTGGGACCAGCCTGGGCCACAGGCCCCGTTCTCAGGACAACCCCAGCTAACCCAGATCGTGGAGTGGCCGCTGCACCTCCTTTCGCCCCTTCTGCCTTCACAACAGCCCCACGGGGTGAGGGTGCTGAAGCTCGGAAAGGCGAAACCGTGCTGACATTGGTGGTGGGCAGGATCGAGTCCCCCTGTGCATAGCCCTTTGCCAAGCGCTTCATTCACACCGAGCACTTCGCCAGCCCTCTGAGACCGGCCGTTCCAGACACCAAAGCCCAGAGAAGCTCAGCCTGTCCACGGTCGCACAGCCAGGAAGTACCAGGGCCTGGATTTGAACCCACATGGGTCTGACTCCAAGCGCTGGCCCCAAAGGCCTTTCTCGGGCATCATGTGCTGGGACCTTGATACTGTTTGTTTCCAGCCCTGGAGCCAGCGAGGCGGGGGCAGGGACAAAGACCGGTTTGCCCGTCCAGCCTTGTCCCCTTGTGCCCCCTCCCCCCCCATGAAGCTCTCGCCCATCCCCGAGGCCGAGCCCCTTTCATCCTGGGACCTGCCGCTGACACTTCTCACATCCTCCCGGGCGAAGAACGTCACCTTGCTTCATATCTGCCTCCCGTGTGGTTGGCTGGGGAAGGGGGCCGTAGGAGCGGGGTTGAGGTTAACCTCATTGTTGTCTTATATGGTCATTTAAATCTCCCAGGGCTTCCTCCAAGGGCCAAAAATAATCTGAGACACAGCAGCTGTGTCCAGCACGCAGAGAAGACCGGGCCATCTGCTTTGGTTCAGAGCCCTGCGTCTGTCTGTCAGTCAGTCCCTCTCTCCCTCGCGCTCCCTCCGTCCTGGGCCCTGCCTCTGGCCATGACCCGCTTCTCATATGCACAGTACTTTTCCCTCTTTCACTGCTGCCCTGCTCCCTCCAGGTCCACGGTGCCTCCTGAGAACCCACCGGCCTTGGGCCACTTGGGCCTCTTCCAAGGGGTCATGCAGAAATACAACCGCAACAAGACCTCCCAGCTGGCGTAAGTGACCCCGCGGCCTGCCCCCCGGACCATCCCAGCGCGCTCTCCCGACGGGGGTTGGCGGGGGTGGGGGTGGGAAGCAGGCCTACAGTCCCCAGACAGGGGGGTCACTCTGAAGGGACCTGCCAGGCACAGCCCTCCCCGGTATGTGGTATGTCCCCCTGAGGCCCAGCTGCTCCTGCTGAGCTGGGCTCGGTGGTCACAGACACTGTCCTCAAGCAATTGCCAGCCACGCTGTGATTGTAACGAATGCTCAGTGCTCCCAAGTGAGCCCTGTGTGCTGGAGTGGCCCCAGGGGGCTCTGAATTGGGGGACCCAGCAAGAGGGGGCTTTGGGGGGATGGCCCTGGAGCTGCGGAGGCCCGAGCAGCTCAGAGCTCCAGCTCTGTTTGTCTCAGGTTCTCCGCACCCCCTGCTGTCACTGCGGGGTTTGTTTTGCTTTGTTGCCTCTGTTTGTGCCAGGTGCTAAAATCCAGGCATAAACTGAGCTATATGGGAGGGGTTCTGTTTGCTGGCACCGGGGTGCTGGGCTAGGTGTGTCCACGGGAAATAGCTCTGTACTGTTCGCTTTTCTGCTCCCCACGCTGACCCCAGAGGAGGCAGCTGAACGCAAAAGAGGGGCCCCATCTCTGGAACCCCCATTCCCTTGCCCAGTTCCGTCTCAGGGAGGGGAGGAGGCCACTGGCCAATGCCTGGTCTCCCCTCCCCAGCCTTTCTCAAGCCCCCCCGCTTCCTTGGTGCTGCAGGTGGGACTTGCACTGAGCAGAGAAGCAGGGAGACCCAGGTTCTGGTCTCCGCAGTGCTGAGGTTTGCTGTGTGACTGCCTGCGAGTCTCTGTGCCTGACCGCGTCTCCCTTCCGTTAGAGAGGTTGGAGGGGACGGAGTGGGCTCCAGGGGCCTGTTCAGCTCCTTAGTCTCTGAGGGTCTGCTCCCCCCCGCCCCCCACCCTCCCCAGCAGCCACTCCCACTCACAGGGCGGGCACTTCAGCTGAGCAACGGGGAGAAGCCATCAGCGGAGGGTGCCCGAGAGCCCCAGGGCCCTCGGACCACGGCTAGAGGAGACCCGGGCTGGGTGGCGGGTCCTGCGAGCGTCCTCATGATGCCGCACACCCCCGAGGCCACAGGAACGGCCAGCCTACCTCCGTTCCGCAGACGGGACACACCCCCCTCTGGGGCTTTTCCTGCCCCCACCTGGGGCTGCTCTGGCCGCTCGCTCGTAACAGGAACTCATCGGGGTGACAGTGATGGCGCTGATGGGGACTTCAGGGCTTATCTGGTCAGTTACCCACGGTCCTTGCTGGGTCTGTAACTCAACCGGCACCGATGCTCTGAAGCTATGAATAACCGGAGAGGCTGAGAGTCAGGAGGAAGTCTGCTCACGCTGGAGGAAGCGGCGGAGGGTAGAGGGGCTGGCCCTGGGGACCATCCGGGCCTATCCCGGGCCCCGACAGGGGTGGGGCCCTGTCCCACTTCTCCAGCCGGGAAATGGGACCGTGGATGCAGAACGTTCCCCAGGAGCGGATCGCAGCCCTGGTCCTCACTGACTCCCCAAGGATGGGGGGCAGGGAGCTCAGTGAGTGCCGGCATGCATGGGCGAATGAATGGATGGGTGGATGGATGAATGAATGAATGAATGAATGAACGCACGAACAAATGAAGTGGTGTTAATGAGCCAAGCAAAGAAGTCATTATTTGTATCAACCCTCTTTTTGGCACTCAGAGTTTAAACTGCGAAGCCTTCAGACTTATTAATCCTTCAAGTATTTCAGTCTTTCAGCTGCTAAACGTGCTGCTGCGGTTAGGATAAAGGCCAGGAGCAAGGAGGGGAGGGAGCTGGAAGACCTTAGGGAGAGGTTCGCGGCAGAGAGCGCCCTCTGGGGGGTCTGCGCCTTCACTCGGAGCCGCTCGAGCAAAAACACCCCCCAGGTGAACGTGCCCGGTCAGCGGTCAGCGAGCTGCGCTCAGGGAAGGGGTTGCATTACGGCTAACACCCACCTCGGGGCCAGCTGTCCACCCCTTTGCAGGCTGGCACCGCATGCCTGAATCCTCCCGGTGGAAGTGGTCGTGGTGTAGCCCCCGAAAACCACAGGGACAGAGGGGTCTCCGAATTCTCTCTCTGCCACCAGTGAGCTTTGTCTAAAAGGGACCCTCAGTTTCCACCTGTGGAGGCGAAGGGGCTCCCACATGGCACCGGCTTGGAGATGAAAGCTGTGGGGCCGCCCCAGGGCACTCCGGGGGGGCGTTGGACAGCAGCAAGGCTTGACCCAGACCCCCCGCCTTTCCCTCTGTAGGCCCGTGTGTCCTCTGATGCTCTAGGGGCGCCACCGCAATGGACATTTTTAAACAAGATATAAATACAGTTCCCAGAGAAGCAAGCAGAACTCTGATGAGAGAGAGGCTATCTTTTGGGAAATAGAAGGGGATAAAGATGTGAAATAATTGTTGGGGTTCCTAGGTTCTGAATTCTTCCTTCCTTTCCCCTCCCCTCCCCTTCCCCCCCTCCCCCTCCCCTTCCCCTTCTCCTCCCCCTCCTCCCCCTCCCCCTCCCCTCCCCTCCCCCTCCCCCTCCCTCTCTTTCTTTCTTTCCCTGAACAAAATATTTATCGAGCACCTATTATGGACCAGCCCCTGAGCTGGGCCCTGGGAATTAAGTCATGAGAGACAAAGATAGAAAGATGCTGTCTGTCTTCTTGGGGCTGTTAGTCCAGCGGGGGAGACGGACAGTGGTCGAGGCTGTAAAGGCCAGCGGTCACGTGAGGGGTTATGACCAGAGACAGGGGAAGACCGACCTGGGCGGGCAGGCCGAGGAGAGGGCCAAGGTCAGGGCCAGTTCCCAGGGCACACCCACTGGGTTAGTAAGGATTTTTCTCTGTATGGACTGAGGACACTGGCTGCAAGGGGGCTGGGCACCTGCCTCAGACCAGCAGGGACCAGCAGGACAGAGTGACCCCCATAGCTGACTCCACTCCTGGCCACCAGCAGGCCCTGCGTTCCCACTGGGAGAGAGGCCGCCCGTCCCAGCCCCTCCCCCGCCGGGTCCTAAGGACTGGCCCGCCCTTGTTTCCACAGGCCCGTGGACCCTGTGCTGAAGGCCATCAAGGAGGACGATGAAGAGGCCTTGAAGGCTCTGATCAAGGTGGGGAAGAACCTCTCCGAGCCCAACAAGGAGGGCTGGCTGCCCCTGCACGAGGCGGCCTACTACGGCCAGCTGCGCTGCCTGAAGGCCCTGCATCGAGGTGAGGCGGCTGCTCTGGGTGCGGCCAGAGGCAGGAGTGGGACTCAAGGGCACAGGCTCCTTCCTCCCAGAGCTTCGTGCTCTTCGCCCCACAGCCTGGGGGGGAGGGCAAGGCACGGCGCTGCTTCCGGGGCAGAGTTCAAGTCGCCAAGCCGGCAGAGGGAAAATGACTTGTCACCCCCCTGCAAAAGCCTCCCCCATCCCACCCAACCTCTGCAGGCCTAATTCTTAGAAAAGCACTGAGGCAAGGTTGACTTTTGGGAGAGCAACTGCCAGCTTATTCTAGAATGTTCCAGGGACTGAATTGATGTGGAAAAACTGCAGCCATGCCTGTGCTCACCGAGACCGTCCCCCACAGCTGCGGGACCCTGGGCAGATCATGCCTCCTCTCTGAGCCTCGCTTCCCCCCAGAAGCCAGATGTGGGTGGGTCACACCTGCAGCGGCACAGACCCCGGACAGCCCGCCACACTCCGGGCCAGAAACAGCTGCACAAGACTGAGCTTCCAGCAGCGGCTGGTGGGACTGTAAGGGAAAGACAGGGTAACTCACAGAAGGAGGAGGCCCAACCAGGGAAGGCTTCCCAGAGGAGGTGGCCTCTGAGCTGGACGAATATGACCAGGAAGCTGAAAGAGCCCTGTGAAAGCTACTGAGTCCAGGGCCAAGATGACAAAGGCAGTCTGGGTGGTAAATTCAGGCAGATGTCACGCAAGTTTGTCCTTGGCATCAGGAGGACACTGTGACCACCTGGTGTGGGGTGCAGGGTGGTTCGGAGAGAGGCAGGTACCTTCCTCCTTTGCTAACGTAGTGGGCTGCCCTCCCCAGAATACCCAGCAACCATCGACCAGCGCACCCTGCAGGAGGAGACAGCTCTTTACCTGGCAACGTGCAGGGGACACCTGGACTGCCTCCGGTTCCTGCTCCAGGTGGGGGCCGAGCCCGACATCGCCAACAAGTCCCGAGAGACACCACTCTACAAAGGTGAGCCCCCCGGAAGGCTTCCCTGAGGAGGCGTCCGGAACCTAGGTGGGCCCTTGGGAGCATTGCTCCTGAGGTGAATAAACCCCTGCCCCCGGGGCTACTTCAAAGGGACAGCCTCTTTTGGATGCATAACCCAGGTAACTGGCTCTTTCCTGTGGGCATGTATTCAGCCAACAGTTCCCAAGTCCTCCATGGGCTGGGAACGGCTCAGTGAGGCGAGCTGAGGGCTCACGGTGGAGAGGAATCGTCCACACCCAGTGCTCCCCCAGTCCAGGGGGCACCTGAGGGCGGGGCGGAGCATGCCTCAAGACACCTGGGAGCTCGGGCAGGGGCCCTGCCGTGAGGGACGGGCGCCCACAGGAGGGTGTGCCTGTGCTGAGCCTGGACAAGCAGGGGACGAGCATAAACAAAGACAAAGAGGTATGAGGGAGAATTTGTTTATCCAGGATGTTTAAGAAAACCACGAACTCCCGGCTGAACCCACACATCACCCAAGGACACTGGGTACCCTAGCAAGTGCCCCGAGTCAAAACCTGAATAATCACAGCAGCTGGCATGTACTGAGCGCTGACTACATGCTGGGCACTATCCTTTCACTCACGCTCGTATCCATCCTCGTAGGAGGTGGGTGCTGCTAGCATGCCCACGTCACAGGGGAGGTACCCAGGAGCACACCCAGACCGGGCAGACCGGGGATTTAAACTCAGGGAGCAGGGCACCAGCCCCACGCTCTGAACTCCTTCCTACCTTCCAAAGCATCTGATCCGTGCCCCCATGCTGAAACAATCAGCCACGGGTCTTACAAAAGGGAGATGGCCTTTACACTTGGAAAGACTGCAGAAATCCCTGGTTTCCCATGGGTCTGGTATCCGGCACCTGGAGCACTCGGTAGGCAGAACGCCCTGGGTAGCTGGCGGCCGGGTCCACTGCAGACCTGTGGTGGAAGTGTCTCCCCCGGGACCCGGGTCCACCCAGCCACCAGAGCCATCCCCTGGAGCCTCAGCTGTCCCAGAGAGAGCTCCTAGGACACTGGGTGATGCACAGCTGAAGCCTGGGCCTTGGTCCTGCATGAGCTCCAACGGTATGCTAAGCACCATGCTAGAACCTTCCATGCCCTGCCCCACCTGGTCTTCCCACAGCATCTTCTCAGGAAGGTGTTGTTATCTCTGCTTTCCAGGCGAGGAAACCATGGCTTGGGGATTCGGAGAGCTTTGTCTGGGGTCCTGTTTGGAACACGATGCAGGCAGCCCCCACTCCTTCTCAGCAGCCCCCTGGCTGACCCGGAGAAGCTTCCAGGGGTAGTGGGTTTGGACAGGCGCCCAGGCTCCCTGGTGCTAACTCTGAGCAGAGCCAAGAGTACATTCGGGGTCTAGAGAGGGGGGAGGCTCCAAAGGGAGGTTTGCGCGGGTTGAGAGAGACTCGCACTGTATGCAGAAGGTCAAGTTCACCCCAGATTAAGTGAGCAGCCTTTGAGGAGGGGCTTTGAACAGGAATATGACACCGTCTTCCTCCTCCTCTTCTGTCTGGGGCAGAGGACTAAAGCAGGTGGCACTGGAAGGGGGTATGAGTTCAGGGCACCCTGGAACGTTCCAGGGGACAGAGATCTTTCCAGACCCAACCACCTGGGTTCAAATCTCAGTTCTGCCACTTGCTGTCTGTGTGACTCGGACAAGTCACTTAACCTCTCTGTGCTTCATTTTCCTCGTCTGTGAAAAGAGATAATAACACAGCATATTTTAAGGATGGTTGGGAGAATTAAATTAGTTAACCATGTAAAGTGTTTAGAACAGAGTGCCTGGCACATAACCAAGAGTATGCGCGTGTCAACAAACACCATTGCTTGTTAGCATGGCTGTTACTTTTCGTTGCGTATCCTGTGCGGGGACCGAAACTTAGTGCAGAGTCAGAGGATATTTCCTGAATGAATGGCCGATGCGTGAATGAGTGAACGGACAAACGAATGAAGACTTGGTCGGCCAGGTCCTGCCAGGGGCCCTGCTGACCGTCTCGCTCCTCCCCGGCACAGCCTGTGAGCGCAAGAACGTGGAGGTGGTGAGGACCCTGGTACAGTACAAGGCAGACACCAACCACCGCTGCAACCGGGGCTGGACGGCTCTGCATGAGTCTGTGGCGCGCAACGACCT